TTAAATACTGAGCTTTTCACACGTGTAAATAATCATGTGAAGGCAGTGCTCACTTCCTCAAAGACTTCGTCAAAAACCTTACGTTCTAAGACCAAAACTAAAGAGAAAAGTGAACAGGAAGTGATGTGGTGCTAAATGACATTTATTGACACATTAGTCAAGTTATAAAATCCAACCAACACTGACGTGTCGTAATCTGACAAGTCACTCATACTGACGTTTCGTAATCTGACAAGTCACTCATACTGACGTTTCGTAATCTGACAAGTCACTCATACTGACGTTTCGTAATCTGACAAGTCACACATACTGACGTGTCGTAATCTGACAAGTCACTCATACTGACGTTTCGTAATCTGACAAGTCACTCATACTGACGTTTCGTAATCTGACAAGTCACTCATACTGACGTTTCGTAATCTGACAAGTCACTCATACTGACGTTTCGTAATCTGACAAGTCACTCGTACTGACGCGTCGTAATCGGACAAGTCACTCGTACTGACGCGTCGTAATCGGACAAGTCACTCGTACTGACGCGTCGTAATCGGACAAGTCACTCGTACTGACGCGTCGTAATCGGACAAGTCACTCGTACTGACGCGTCGTAATCGGACAAGTCACTCGTACTGACGCGTCGTAATCGGACAAGTCACTCGTACTGACGCGTCGTAATCGGACAAGTCACTCGTACTGACGCGTCGTAATCGGACAAGTCACTCGTACTGACGCGTCGTAATCTGACAAGTCACTCGTACTGACGCGTCGTAATCGGACAAGTCACTCGTACTGACGCGTCGTAATCGGACAAGTCACTCGTACTGACGCGTCGTAATCGGACAAGTCACTCGTACTGACGCGTCGTAATCGGACAAGTCACTCGTACTGACGCGTCGTAATCTGACAAGTCACACATACTGACGTGTCGTAATCTGACAAGTCATATTTCAAAATGTTTACAAGATTTAGGTTAAAGAATATTTAATGACGATACAAAAAGTCTAATAAACCAAAAACGTCAGAACCCTCCTACAGCACCTGCACCCCCTGGTGGTGGTGTTTAAGACCGTGTTTTAGAGCACTCATCCAGACAGGTTTCACATCATTGCTGCAGTGATTACAGTGAGACGGTGTGTGTGTGTGTGTGTGTGTGTGTTTGTCCTCCGGTAACATAACCTGGGAGGAAACGTCTCCAGCAGCGGGGGCTGTTATTGCTTTCTCACCGCGCCTGTGAATCATCTGCCAATGGGAGTTGAGCTCCATTAGTCAAAGTGAAGTGTGAAGGAAGTGTTTCCAGAGGGGAGACGCAGCAGAAGGTCACGTGATCGTGTGGTCTGTGACGAATGACACACTGTCACTGTCAGTCTTCATGACTGTCATGGAGTCATTACACCAACAGCAGTGGTTAGGAACTTAATCCCGTCAGATTAGATTGATAATCCAGGGACAGCCCTAATATTTCTTCATTTTTGGCCTTCGGTTCCAAACCACTTTGGCCCAAACTCCTCGCCATCAGCGTGGAGACTCGAGATCAGGTGGCATGGTGGTTGATGCTGTTGCCTTACAGCAGGAACGTCAGCTGTTCTCGTGCTGGCAGTAACTGAGGGCAGTTCTGTACGGAGTTTGTACAGTATCCTGTGTAGTACCAGGTGTGTACATGACAACCAAATACTGCAGTACTTGGATACAGATGAAGTAACTTTGGTGTTTAACTTGAAGTTCTTTGTTGGTTCACAGCTCAGTTTGATCAGCAGGTGGCGATGATCAGACCCGTCCTGTATCAGTACCAGTCAAGTGGTCGTCTGAATCAGAACACACAGTCTTTTGTAGAGTTCAAAGCCTCACACACACACACACACACGCACACACACACACAGTCTTCCTCTTCCCCTCCCCCCTCTCTCTCTCCAGTACCCTGCCCCTCCCCTCCCCTCTCCCCCCCCCCCCTGCCTCATCCTCCTGCCCCATCCTCCTGCCCCCACCTCAGTGCAGTTGTTCACAGTCCTTAAAGGAGAAAATGACTGAATCAACATTTGAACCGACCTGTCAATCACACAGTCATGAAACAAACAAAAAATCAAACATCTCTGACCCTTTGACGCCCAACACCCCCAGCTGCCAATCTCACCCTCTGCTCCCCCTCCCCCCCCCCCCCCCTCCCCCCCCCCCCCCCTCCCCCCCTGCCCCATCCTCCTGCCCCCACCTCAGTGCAGTTGTTCACAGTCCTTAAAGGAGAAAATGACTGAATCAACATTTGAACCGACCTGTCAATCACACAGTCATGAAACAAACAAAAAATCAAACATCTCTGAACCTTTGACGACCAACATCTCCAGCTGCCAATCTCACCCTCTGCTCCCCCTCCCCCTCCTCCTCTTCCTCCTCCTCCTCCTCCTCTCCTGCTACATCCCAGCCCTGCTCCGTTGCCACAGCAACATGTTGGACTGCTGTGATCTGGAGCTGCTCTGTCTCCTCCAGATGGGCTGCCTTTTGTCCCTCCTCTGTGTGTGTGTGTGTGTGTGTGTGTGTCCGTGTGTCCATCTTCTCTGTCCTTCTTCCTCTTCCAAACAGCTGTTCAACTGGAGCCTGATTAGCCAATGATACGCCTTGTTTCCCAGATTAGCATTAAGAATGACAAACACGGCGAGTTAGCAGGATGTGAAAGCACAAACGCTGCAGCTCGTTTAACGATACGTCAGAACAGGGCTGTGAATGTGACCTCACACTTGACCTTTGACCAAAAACATGGAGGATTCTTTTAGTTTGTCCTATGTTAGTGTAAGAAGATATACGAGAAAAAAAAAAAACCAAAACAAAACCAAACCATCCAAACAGATGAAGCTAAACATGATGCTATCACAAAGTCAAACATGTAAATATGAAGGTTATATTTCTGTGGAGTTTTATATGTTAGAGAAGCAGAGATCTTTGAAATCATGTGTTTTTATTTATTAACAAACGTTTGATTTGACATTATTTACATCATGTCTTCAAATATAAGAAGGAAACGAAGAGTCACCGCTTGGTAATCATGACTCAGCATTTGATGGAGATAAAGGACCAGAAGGATCCTCAGCCTGTCACCTCCCCAACCCCCCCGACCCCCCCGCCTCCTTTCCTCCTCTTACTTCTTTACTTCCACACACACACACACACACACACCTGCTGGGTGACTTGCTGATCTCTGTCTTTCTGAACCAGGATTTCTTTGGTCCTTTTTTCTGCACGGTTTTGAGTTTGTGTTTGAGTTTGAGTTTGAGTGACTCCTGTCAGGTGTGAATCATTACACCGTTTTCTGGCACGTTTTCAAATCAACTCTTAAGCTTTTATTTTTAATATTGTGCCTGGTCATATAGCTGTCCCTGCCGTTTGCCTGTCAGTAATGATCGTCTTTTCAAAGGAAAAAAAAGAAACGTTTGCAGTGAATTTACTTCTGTCCGTGAGCCCACGCAGCCCAGGTCTTCAGTCTGTGATTGTTTAGAAGGAGGAACCGAGTCTGCAGCGAAACAAACGCCAGCTCCTCAGACGGCACTTCAAAAAAANCCGCCCCGCCCCCTCCTCTTCCTCAGGACATGTTTGCTCATCTGGGTGAGGATGGATGGGAAGTGACAGGAGCAGAATAGAGGGAGGGGGACTCTCTAGCCCACGGAGGAGGCACGACAGGAGGAGACGAAGGACTGCAGCTCAGACAGAGCTTAGAGCAGCCGAGCTCCGTGTGTCAGACGTTTGAATGTTGAAGGAAAAGAAACGACAAACGAATCTTTACCACAGCAGCCTCTGACGCTCACGGAAATATAACAGACACATGTCATTGGATCATTTGACTCAAAATGTCCGGTTCTCCTGCTTCAATCCAGCTGTAACTCCCGCCTGTTTCCATCTTGGTCGTACTCCAGTGTCCTTCACCTCTTTTCCAGAACGTTCTCCGTGTTTCTATTCTTCCTTCTCTCTGTGGAGCAGCAGACTCCCTGCAGCTCCTCTCCCATCCTCAACTGGTTCATGTATAAAACAGCGAGAAGCTGGTGTCCAATCAGGGGGGCGGGGCTCGGCTTCAGAGCTGCAGATGCTGTTTGACGTTTTCAGATTTATCCAAATATCTGGTACATGCAGATACAGTTACAGTGCGACAGAGACGTCACAGTACGTTCTGCTCATTCACAGCGTTAGAAGATTTCAATAAAAATATCTGAAGACAAATTCACAGCAGACGTTGGACAGAAGTCAAGGAGTGGTTTGGAATGAGCTAACGTTTGTGAACACATCATAGATGATGAAGGTAAAAGAATCCCTTCACCATGTTGGAGGAGGTCGCCCTCTGAACACCTGGTGCTCCGTACCAGGGGCAGCGATGCTGCTGGTACTTTGTAAAGATTTTCCATTTTCACGGCAGAGTGTGTTTGTCGAAGGTCAATCATGTCCTCGTTACTGCCATCAATGAAAAAGTCAGGAGGTTAAAAAAATCAGGAGCATGAAGTAAAAAAAGTACTGTGTGTTTTTATCATATTCTTAACCTCAGGGCCACATGGGGAAGGGGGGGGTTCAGTGGGGGGCGTTCACTCTAAAGTGAACTTGAGTGTGAACTTGAGTGTGAACTTGAGTGTGAACATGAGTGTGAACTTGAGTGTGAACTTGAGTGTGAACGGTTGTCCGTCTCTACATGAACCCTGAGTCTTTATTTGGGCTGTAAGAACATATCAGTGCGCTGAAGCCTGGTGATACTTCCGTCCCTGATACTGTGTCAATGTCCTCCATCACTCCGTCCTGTTTCTACTTCCTGTTCCCAACAGGACAGTTTTCCTGCTCGTTTTGGAGGAATCCACTTTGTGAACCAGCCCTGGTACATCCACGCCCTCTACACCGTCATCAGACCCTTCCTCAAAGACAAGACCAGGAAGAGGGTAAGTCAGTTACCGTAGCCATGGTAACCACCGCGGTCAGAGACATCAGAGGAGTCTGTTTACTTTGAAAGGATATGAGACTCCATTTTATAACAAAATCAACCAGTGAGGAACCACAGCCCAGGTCACCTGAGGTCCGTCTGAATTTCCCTCTTGTTCACTGAGCAGATCTTTATGCACGGCAACAACCTGAACAGCCTGCACCAGCTGATCCACCCCGAGATCCTGCCGTCGGAGCTCGGAGGAATGATGCCGCCGTACGACATGGGCACGTGGGCCAGGACGCTGCTGGACCACGCCTACGACGAGGAGACCGACTACTGTCCCGAGTCCTACACCCTGTCGGTCCAGGACCTGGAGAGAGACCTGGAGAAAAACCTGTCCCCCAAATCTATGAAGAGGTCAGTGAGAAGGAAGGAGAACACACAGACAGGGGGCAGTATTGCTGCATCATCCTGCTTATTTCATATTATTCCTGGTCACCACTCAGACTGCTGTGTGTGTGTGTGTGTGTGTGTGTGTGTGTGTGTGTGTGTGTGTGTGATTGTGTGTGTGTGTGTGCAGGTCTCAGTCGGTGGTGGAGCCTGGCGTCCTGAAACGACCGGACAAAGTCAAGAGTGAGGAGGACAACATGCAGCCGCTGCTGTCTCTGGACTAGATGTTCACCTCCAAGAACCAAACAGGAAGCAGTATTAACCACACACACACACACACACACACACACACCTGTGCACACACTGTAAGCCACACACACTTTTCCGCTGCTGCTGCTGCTGCTGCTGCTGCTGCTGCTGCTGCTGCTGCTGCTGCTGGTGGACTCTTCAACTGCAGCCCCTGTAAAGTGATGTAATGTGACAGAGAAATGGACCAATGAGACGAGAGGAGGACGCTCCCTTCAGACTGGGCGGTTCCTCACAGCTGTCAACAGTGTTCTCTCTCTCTCTCTCTCTCTCTCTCCATCCATATATATACATATATATAAACATATATATATGTATATATTTGGATCTATTTATTTATTGACTTTCCATTTCTGTCAAGTGCCAATTCCCAAAAAAAATTGAAAATGTCGTCTTTGGAGGAACCCAGCAGGGAATCATCAGTTGGTCCACAGTGACTGGGAAGGAACTCCTCAGTGGAACGACGACTGGTTATAGATAGACGTGGAAATCATCCTGGAGGTCATCCAGGAGGTCATCCTGGAGGTCATCCTGAGGTCATCCTGAGGTCATCCAGGAGGTCATCCTGGAGGTCATCCTGGAGGTCATCCTGAGGTCATCCTGAGGTCATCCAGGAGGTCATCCTGGAGGTCATCCTGAGGTCATCCTGGAGGTCATCCAGGAGGTCATCCTGGAGGTCATCCAGGAGGTCATCCTGGAGGTCATCCTGGAGGTCATCCTGCAGCTCAGAGGACTTGTTGTACAAATATGTGAAGAAACTGAGCAGTGTTTGAGCATGATGCTCAGGAGAATCAGCCGTTAGCACCACCTTCAGGACAGGACGGTCATTTACTGGGATAAGGAGGGGCATTTACGCTGACTGGTGACTTTGTACCTGAACTCCACCTTGGAAAGTACCCCCCTCCCCCGCCCCCAGTCGTTTATGGTTCCTAAAAATCTCTGCTTTTTCCGTCTTTTAGCTATCCTCTCTTGAACTTCCTCGTTTCTCCACACGAGGGCAGTATTTCTTCTTTCCTCGGAGCAAAAGCTTGAGAAGCTCCTGTGTCTTTTTAAACAACGACTGACGTCAAGGTCACGTATTTATTTGGCTGAAGATGACCAAAAGATATATTTTCAGACTCTGACCAAATAAAAATAGCTAAAGTTTTATTTTATAGAAGCAGCGACAAGGGCCAGCCTATCGCCTCCTGCTGGTAACTTTGTGAGAAAATTTGTTATATTTTTAGCAATAATATTGATCTGATTCTGAAGTATTTTTTCCTTTGGACTAGAGCTGTGTGTCAGGTTTATGTGAGGTTTGAAGACCAAGGTGTTGAAGGATTGTAGGTTTTTTAAGATCTTTTTCTGCATGTCCATTAAGAGTCAGCTGTAAAATATTTGGTGTCACACACCCCAGAATGTTGTAGATTAATTTTTGCATATTTTTCATTTACATTGTATTTTCATTTGAGACGAACATCCAGGTGTTTAACATGTAATCCAAAGTAAGGGCCGCACCACCACGCCTCACCATCACTGGAAACCGACGGGACATTTAACACACATCTGAGATTGGTGGCAGAATTTGAAGCAGTTATGATTTTTATGCCTTCATATTTTTTTACAGAAAATGCCATCGATTGTAAATAAGAAAGGGACGACGACATTTGTTTGTAATTGTTTTGAAGCCTGAGGTCAGGGTCATTGGAAAACCAGACTATGGCCACACCGTGGGAAAATGCAGGATTGACGACCATGGCTGCGTGCATTTGTTGAGTGGATGGCAGCTGTTTCAGGTGCATTGTTGATTGTAACCACTAGAGGCACTGTGGAGCAGTGTGTTCCACCGAATGAGTCAGTGTTAATCTGGTTGATTTCTGTTTTCGTCAGCAGTCGTTCAGTCTGACCCACAGAATGACACAAAGTTTGACTCCTGGATCAGAGCTGAAGGAATGGAAGGATTGATTTGTTTTACTGTGGTGCAAAACCAAACACAGAATGTAAGTTTTATCCACGACAGCCTTGACATCTGTAATGTCACTGCATTTATATGATCACATGTAAACACACCAGGTCCACAGACACCAGACCCACAGACACCAGGTCCAAACCTTTAGTATTTATTCAACCCTAGACAGTATTGTAATAAAACAGTGAGCTGAAACTGTGGTAGTTTGTTAATGATGCCACGTGGTGGCAGTGTTTAGCACACGGGCCTTAAGACCTTTTCTACAGAGTTTGTTTTCCATGTTCTCACTGAGCTTCTTCTCCTGGAGGGTTTCCAGTTTCTTCCTCTACAAAACTTTTTGACTTTTTTCTGGATTACGGTGGGTAGAGTGGTTAGTGCTGTTGCCTTACGGTAGACGGTCCCAACGTACTGTGTGTGCATTTGCATGTTGTCCCGTGTCCTCCACCTGTACATCCATTCACCCCTTGTCCTTTCCCGTCCCTGCTCCTCTTTCCATCACTTTTTTTTCCGTGTCTCGACACAGTTCTCAGTCAACGGTCCACAAACGTTTATGCTGCAAAGTGTAAAATTCAAGACAACTGAATGTGAGCGACGTGGACGAGGTGGTGGTGGTGAGCTGGTGAGGCTGAGCAGACTGTGAGTGGATGAGAGCAGACAGCTGCAGTGTTGGAGCGTCACACCAACACACTGACATGTCACAACAGCTGCAGGGTCTCCTCCACCACAGCACCCCCCTCAGCTCAGAGAGAGTGCTTCACTTTGATGCTGATGCTCACAGTAGGGCTTCAGTCAGAGGGAGGCCAGAACAACGCTGATTAATCATAATAATAATAATAATAATAAAAACAACATAACTTTGCAGTCACCATTTTTATTCAATACCATGTTTTAGGGTAAATTCCTTCGTACTCTACCTTTAAACAGCTTCACGTCATGAAAAGATCAGTTTTGTATTTTCAGCTCCTTCAATTTTTTACCAACTCCTAATTATTTATTTGCTCCTAAGTCACAGTAAAATGAAATGTTTTGGCTTGAAAACTTTTTGTTGACATTTTTTTGTATTTATTTCTTTGTTGTTGATTTTACAACAATTTTATATAGTTGTAAAAAAATGAACAGGGTAAAAATGTATTTTCATCTTAAATCAGCTGCTGGTTTTTCCCTCATTTCTCCTCCATCTCCTTCTCCTCCTCAGTGACTGTCATAACTGGACTAGACCACACCTCCTCAGTGCTCACTGACTTTGACCAATGTCTGATTAGTTTCAGCCAAAGCCAGTGGTTTGATGTGAGCGCTCATTGTTTCTAATGATCACTGTCACTGTCTGTGCTTCAAAGGTGTCAACACTGAATTCAAATGTTTTTATTTGTTTGTTTTTTTAATTCCTGCAAATGAATGCATAACTTTCAGTTGTGGTATTTAAAAACAGTATAAATATAAATATATCTATTTATGGATTTCCACCTCACTGTTCTTTGATTGTATAGTGTGTGTACAGCAGCTGTGACCAGGTCAGAGGTCACGGCAGAAAAGTGTTCAGTTAGCAGCTGTTTTTGAAAACCTGTGTAAATGTCTTCTGACGAGAGTTGTGTTGAAAACACGTCATGTAAAAATGGTCAGAAATAAAAACAAAAACAAACAAACACGTAGATTCACCTCTGCTCACACCGTCTCCTGCGTGTGTGTTTTTGGACTGCCAACGTACAGTTAATAGGTTTGGTTACTTTCTAGAAAATGAGGCTTGTTTTTCCGTTGCTAATCTTTGACTAAACTTTACTCTTTCTTCACTTTTCTTTGGGGATGTTCTGGCCTTTTTGAGCTTTGAGCTCTTTTTTAGTCATTTTTAGACTTATTAAGCTAACTTATATGACATGATCATTTCCATAACATTTAAAATATTTAACTTTGATCCATTTGTAGCCTTCTGCTACCCTTTAGCTTTTCTTCTTTCATATTAAGATATTCTTTGGTCCATTTTCAGCTAATACAAGTAAGTTATTATTAATGTTATATTCCAAAGGTTTGATGTTATCATCTGTTTTTTTCCAATTAATTGTCTGTTATTGTAGATATAAATATATTTCAATAAAAATGATTTAAACTTAATTAATTTTCTAAATTTCAGCCTTAGGCTAAGCTTGTCAAGGCCCCTGCCTTTAACCAAGTCTGAATTGAATATTTATTGTACAAATTTAAAAAATATTTGTTAGACTGCATTTGGTGTTTTCTGAGCTAATAATTAAGTTTTACTGTAGTTTTATTCTGGTAAAACTACATTTACGGTTGATTTGACCACCTCTGTCTCCTGCGCTGCCTCTTCTTGGACCTCTTTCTGAACAGGCACATTATCGTCTCCCCTTCAACCGTCATGTTGGGGAACTAACGTCGACACTGCCCTCTAGTGAATGTACTGCTTAACAACATTGCCGAACATGAAGTACAGATGTGGACAGTGACGTTGGAAACGGACTAAAACTATGATAATGAACGAGACTGGATGAAACACGATGTTTTAAATATGACAGGGAAGTCACCCGTTTATAAACAAGAAGAAGAAAACGGATGTAAGAACTTCTAACGAGGTAGGAACCAAGCTCCACTGTGACGTTGTGTTATTTAATTGAACAAACCGCGGCACCTGTGTTAAAACAAAATGGCTGCTCGGTGTTATTCCCAGTTATTCCCCTTCAAACTCAAACTTTTTTCACTGAGGAATTTTTAAAATGTAAAAGCTTTAAGTTAGCTGTTTTAAAAAGCTATTTGGGCAAAAAAAGTTTTGTATTTTAACTCTCTCTTTAACTCTAACATATTTGGTTTCTTTTATCAAACGTTGGACCTAAAATAAAGAGTTCCTCAGTGAAATTAGGTGTAGTTTGAAAAATGAAGGTTTTTATATCTATATTTGTTTGTGTTATTAATTTCGTGGCCTAAATATTTGACGAATAGACTGTAATGATAATAGAAATAAATAATATAAATAGTTCAGGACAGAACAGGAGAAATGAAAAATAAATAAGGCATAAATCGACAAACAAACACTGGAAGTACAAAATGTAGTATTTTAATTTTAAGGTAAATGAATATGAACAAAATAAAAACAAAGATGTTTTTTATAATTATCTTCAAACATTTATTGAATTCCTAACTCAACGTTTCACAGCTCCGTGACTCAGGCGGATGAAAAACCCTCGGCTTTATTTTACATGCGGCTGACACACACTTTACACTGTTTCTTCACCACCTGTGTTGGAACAACGATCAAACACACACACGAAAATGTCTTTTTTTTCTGGCATCACGGTGAATTCACGTGAGTTTTGTTTTTGTCTTTTTAATGTTAAACACAGTAAAGAAGCTACAACTATTTTATACACAGTGGACTGACTGTGTCTGTGTGCAGTTACACAGAGGGCCTTTAAAAAGGCCGCCATGCACATCGACCAGGTTTGTCATCCTACATCGGCATCATTGTCATCATCATCATCATCATCATCATTGTCATCATCGTATTATCAAATCGTCCTCATTCTTTAATTCCACACTGTCGATAAAAGTCAATGCCGTAATTTGTGATTATGACAAAAAACGACGACTGGTTTACGTTGACCTTCAGTAAATTGATTGGTCATTAACCTCTAAAAAAAAAAATGATTCAACCTTTTTTTTCTTAGTAGTTTATGACTACTAATAATGTCTTAGATAAATCTCTGATTTACACACATTTGGTTTACAAACCACAAAATAAGGGGCGTGGTCAGAGAACTGCACGTTTAGGTTCAAGTCAATGGTCAAGTCAATGGATTCAACAGTAAAACAAAACCACACTGTGTTCTTGTGTCACATTCAAGTCAGTGCAAGCGCAACTGCAGCAGAACGGTTCAGTTACTGTCCCTGGTCTGGTGCAGCGCCCCCTGCTGGAAATTGGCCACAGCAAGAAAAAGTGAGTTGTTTTTTTTCAGTTTCAAATAGATGGACTCTCTGTGCTTAGTCTTTTAATTGTCTTTCTACAAAATCTGACATGTACCTTTTACACGTGTTGCCTAGCAACAAACACAACAGCAGTAAAGTGTGAAAGGTTTTCTTGTCATTCATGTGTGAATATTGTCATCATATACATGATGTATGTGATGTATGTGGTAAGATTGATAATTCGTTTGACACTAAATCGTCAGCTCAGCGCGTGTTTGGTGGGCGCTAGGCTAACTCTGCTAACATCAGAAACCAACACAACTGGTTACCATCAAGTCAGTGACTGACAGACTTGTGTCAGCCAATCATCAGCTCTGTTTACTACAGTACTGTATAAACTGTATGAAGGAGGAACTCCATCATCACCTCCTCAATCACCACCATGTTCGTTATTGTCTAAGACAAACCTTTTATACTCTGTACCACCATGATGACCAACAGTAGAATAGTTAGCTTCCACCACACAGGAGAGATGTTGATACATGTTTATAATTATGTTTAAATGTTGTATTAATTCTACATGGTACGTTTCAGATTTCAGATTTAATTCAATTAAAAATGTAAATGTGAAAATATGAAATTTCCCCGCGTGCCACTAGAGAGCGCTCACGTACCACTGGTGATACGCGTACCACAGTTTGAGAACCACTGGTCTAAGAAACTGATGGCAGCTTGGAAATGAAATCTGAACTTAACACTGCCCCCTAGTGGGTGAACTGCATAATGGGCAGCAGCATTTGAAACAGGATCAACCTGGAGCTGAATCAGGATGGGAGCTCAGTGGGAAAACTCTGCAGGTTCATATTAGGGTCTTGTTCAGTAAGACAATGGCAGCCAAACAGAAAGAAAAGAACAAAATGGTTGGTAATGTTCAGCAGTTTCAGTAGCAACAACAACAACAAAGCAGCGAGACACGGTCGAGGTAACCACAAATTATTAAGTCATTAAAAAACCAAGCCTGACAGGAAAAAAAAGACATTCATCTACTGCAGCAGACATCACATTGTCTCATGACTTGGTCACAATAAAAATGTCCTGCACAGATTCCCTGTCCCTGAACACAACACGTAGAGTCTGGATCTCAGTATGACATCATCGTCTGACCTTTGACCAATAAGAACGCAGGTAAAAAAAATGGATCCAACAGTCGTCCTGCTAATACACGGAGGGAACGGATGGACGTCCACACTCGGAGACAAAGAGGCTGCTGGGATTTACTGTGGGAGCTCCTGGGATTTGACCTTTTGACCTTAGCAGGTCAAACAAGTGTCAACAATTAATCTATTGGATCAGACATTGTTTAAGTCCTGTCGGGTTTAAACAATGGTCATACAAATTTGTCACATTTAATTCCTCAGAAAAAAATAGCAAATATTTCTACTGTGTTGTGATAAAAAATATAGAAAAAGTAAGAAAACAAATCTAGGTTCCTTGGCCTTGACATGTAGCCCAGGGTGGAATAGGCCAGATTCATATGGTTAACGGATGTCCGTTAAACATGGTGGGATAGTTTGACAGGGTCCCATATGGAACCTGTGTCAAACATAATCAAATGTTGGACCAAAGTTTATTTAAAAGGATCAGAACGTGGTGAAAAACCAGGAGCTCGACCACAAAAGACAGAAGAAAAAAAAAATCATGTTGAACTGGACGAAAACATCTCAGTCTGTGCAGAGGTCCCTATGAAGTTTCAGGGCTTCACATGTTGAGTACGTCTCCCCCTGCTGGCCCAGCAGTGCACTACCATCAGATGTACTGGCGTTGGAGGTGAGCGGTGAGGTTTTCTTCCTGTTATTGTCCCGGAGTCCTGGCTGCTCGCTGCTGCTCCAACATGGACTTGATGGCGGGGGACATCATGGTGGGGGACATCATAGCGGGGGACATGGCTGGTGTGAAAGGTCTCAGAGGATACTGGGTGTTTTTCCCAGGGACATAAACACACTGGAAGTATCTCTGGCCTGTGGTAACAGGATAGTGACAAATAGTTTTCCTCAGTGCAGTATTTCACACAATGACTTTTTAAATTTAATACATTTTGTTGGACGACTGAATCAATTACTGCTGTTAAGACCTGGTTCTGAACCCTGTCACCTGGTCCACTGTAGACTGGATACACTGTACCAGGACTGTTGTAGCTAACGTTAGCTCTGGTGTCTGTACCAGGACTGTTGTAGCTAACGTTAGCTCTGGTGTCTGTACCAGGACTGTTGTAGCTAACGTTAGCTCTGGTGTCTGTACCAGGACTGTTGTAGCTAACGTTAGCTCTGGTGTCTGTACCAGGACTGTCGTAGCTAACGTTAGCTCTGGTGTC